TATATATATATATACATACATATATATATATATATACATATATATATATATATATACATACATATATATACATATATATATATACATATATATATATAAATACATATATATATATATACATATATATATACATATACATATATATATACATATATATATATATATATAAGATGAATTGTTTTTTTTTTTTCTGTATGACGATTTTTTGATGCGACCCCGGCTCTCAAATCATCCTACAATAAGCTAAGAATATATGCATGTCACACGATTATGAAGTTTTCTCGAAGACCTTTTTATGTTGACTTGGAGTATGCAAAGTTATCATGATTTTATATGATGTTGAGTCGTCTTGAAGTTATATTTTCCTCCGAGATCTTCTGCTTAGTTGTCTTGGGATCAATTAACGAATGACTTTGAAGAGTTTCATTAGCATTAGAGTTCTACTTCTACACGTTCCTTCTCCAAGTGCATGAATTCATGGGGGACGCTGCCAACTCAAATGAGGATAGAGAATGGCATATGTTTTGTTTTTTGTTGTCGAAAAAAATAAAAACTAATTAGAACAAAGGATTAAAACCTCGTTACCAACTAAAATATTAACGTTAGTCGGTCAATCCTTTTTCCAGAATTAACAAATTCTATTACTTCTGGCATATAAGGCGAGCGAGCAACTTGATTTCTCTCCCTAAATATATGGGTGGCTCTGTAATCCAAAAAATAGTCCACAAAATACAAATATGTATGGATTAAATTATCATATAATCACCGATGATTTATGTCTTTCTTAATATAAATTAAATTATCATAGTAATATATTATTTTATTTAAATAATTATCTTTCATATTTGTATAGTATAGTTAAGGAAATAATTAAAATTAATTTTTTAAATCATGTGAACAAATTAAGAATTTCATTAATATATTAAATTGTTAATTAAATTATATTTTAATAAGTGATATGATTTTTATAAAGTAAATAGTTTACATTTTATTTTTGTATGAACCATAAAAATACATATTAAAATTTTATCTATATTTGAAAGAAAAATAAAAATTAAATTATTGCTTACTTGAGCTCATTTTTTTCTATATATAAGAGGCTTTCCCTCTCTTGTTCCTCATCGAGCATGAATGATTTAGGAGAGGATTTCCCAAGGAGAGGATCTCGAGAAGAGGTAGTATCCTCTATTTTCTTTTATTATCAGTTTTTATTCATATTTTAAAAATTTTAATATTAAAATTATTATAATTTATATAATATATAATAATATTTTTATTTTATAATTTTATAATTAATAAATAATCATCATTAAATTATGATTTTATAATGATTAGTTAATTTGATAATAGTTCTAAATCATTTAATTACACATATTTATGTTTTAAAGAATTATATATATATTTTTATGATTTAATTTATTTTAAATTTGAAATCATGAATCTAAATTTGTTAATTTATAAAAAAAATATATTTGAAGTTAACTTTTATTTTATAATTTTTAAAGTATTTTTATAAATATTAAATTTTAATTTAATAAGATGGGTCAAATTGAGGTTTAGCTCTAGTTAAGTTGATTAACCAAATCAGCTCATGTAACCAGGTATAGCCTAACACATATAGTCAAGTAGAACTCATGTAGCTAAGTTTTGTCTAACTTATATGGTCAGGAATAGCCCAATCCATATGGTCCGGCATGATTGAACATATATGATCAAGTATAGCCTATCACATGTGGTCAAGCAAAACCTAAATCATATGACTAAATATAATATAGTCCACATGGTTAGGTACAACTCAACCCATATGATCAAGTATGACTCAACTCATATAGTCAAACATGGCCCAACTAATATAGCCATGTATGATATAACCCATGTGGCCAAATGTGACACAAATTATATGGTCAAGCACGATCCAACCTATGTGGTTAAACATGGTCCAACCTATATGGCTAAACATGACATAACCTATAAGTCAAATGTGACTTAGTTTAGTAATAAGGATCAATCCAACTTATGAGATGAGGCTCAACACAGTCCAGCCCGCAAAGCTAGACTCGCCCAACTATGCGACTAGCATAGGATATGTCACCACTCTATCCAGTCAATTATACCTTAGCCCAACTTACTTCCTAGGATAGGCATGTGCAGCACACATGACTCATCCAAGACTCAAGTGATTCCGTCTAGGATACCCTATGTGATATAGTCCAAAGCTCAAGTAAGTTAGTTTGGTCTAAATAGCACTATGTGATATAGTCTAATTTTCTTTCCCTTTATTAATTTAAACTCATTTGCTAATTGAATCAGACAGATTTGATCGGTTCAAGCTAGTTTAAGATGATTCCAAATTAATTTGATTAATTCAAGCTCACTTCACTTAATTAAAATTAATCAAATCCAAATTAGATTGGTTTAAGGTGATTCCAAACTAGTTCTATAAAGATTTGAAGTTATTTCTATTAGGTTCTAATTGAATTAGGTTTCGTTCAATTGATACCTCGTATATTTGATAAACTTAAATTTTTATTTGAATATATCATTTAGAAATGATTAGTATTTTCTTCTTTTTCTAGATTAAATTGATTTGATTATTGCTGTATAGTATTTTTATTATACTTAGTGGTCTGTGTTAGAAATGAAATATATGAAATGAGCTATGGGTCTATAATAGAGTCACCAATGGATATACTCTAGTATATGATATATCATGTATGGTTCTTCATAATATTTTCTCATATTATTTCTTAGATGCATGCATCAATGAATGAATAAAGATAAATGAATGATATGGTTGATTATATATCCCTATTGAGAGTAAGTAGAATGATTTCCTTTCAGGATTAGCAAGCTATAAAATGTAATAGTTAGACGATTCCTAATATACTATTAGGACAAATGTATCTCCACTTAGGCAAACGATGTTATTGGGAGTGCGATATATGTTCTCTCTCCGTTCATTATTGGAAGGAATCAATCTCGGAGAATATGTCTTTCCATCTACTATTGAGAGAATGCTGTGATGTATCTCTTTGTTATTTGATTATTATATATATCATCGTGATATGTTGCATATGATTAATGTATAATTTTATTTACTATATTATTTTTCTAATACATGAGTTTCATGATGAACTGATATGTTATCATTTTATATTAGATTGTTGATATTTATATATGTTTCATAAATAGTAAAGATTTTTTATAAGTTTTTAAATATTTCTATTAACATGTATTGTTGCTGATATGTTTTTATTTTATATTTATTCTCAAATTAATCTAAAGATTTGAAGCTTAGGTAAAGAAGATTTTTCGTCACTGATGGCCCGATTAAGAAGATGTGATTTTTTTTAGTAAAAAATATTTAGTATCATAAAACAAAGATTTGAATTTAAAAATATAAAAATTCAAATGATGATTTGTTTTTTTTATAAATATAAGGTGTTACATTTCAAACCTACTTATTCATTCGATAATTTTTTGAAAATGTATAGCAAAGTTGGGATTGATAACTTATCATTGAAAAGGAAAGAAAAAAAATCTTTATCGTAAGAATACAACTATTTGCGTTATTTGAGGAAGAATAATACAAGTAGAGTAGCAATTCAAGTCCGATACCATCACTAGAGGATAAGGACAAATCTTATCATATTTAACTAAGTTGGGAGATCCATCTCATGAAGTCTGTGTTAGCAACAGCCCTCTAATTCAAGCTAAGCCAGGCTGCTTAAACCGAGTCAGAGACACATGCACGTAAGACAGCCATATCCACCACAGCTCGTCATCCATGACGACGATACTACGAACGGAAATCCGTTGAATTGCTCGCTGAAGCTCCCCATCAATCTCTTCTTACTACAAAAATCCACCATGGTTTCCACCCTCCTTCCCAACTCCTCCCTTCTCTTCCATCTGCTTCTCCTCTATGCCCTCCTGAGCTCTTCCACGTCTCCCTCTCTCTCTTGTACAAACGATGAACTTGATTGATTATTCTTCTTTTTTGTTTTACTTTTGTGTTCTTTCTGTCGTTTTAGATTCTTGAATCGTTATCGTAATGATTGTCTTTCTCTTACAGCAACTCCGATGACGCTAATGATCGTTTGTTTTCTTTACTGTGATGCTAGTGTTTGTCTTAACTATTGTTGACTTACATCAATACTAAACCTCCCTCAAACTACAATTTCAATCAGTACGAGTTGTAGTAGTGCATGAGCTTACATACAAAATCTGATGAGCTGAAGTATTTCTACTTCCGCAGGGAAGGGATGTTAGATCACTAGCTGCTGTTGCTGCTCAATTGCTGCATAATTGAGCAGTGTTGCGTCGTACTTGATCGGAGTCACAGAGGAGGAAGAAGATGGGGTTTTGGTCATTGTTCCTGGTGGCATCCGAGCCAATCGTGCAGGTCCTCCTCATAGGCCTGCTCGGGGCATACCTTGCGTCTGGCTACAGTAATGTGCTGAGTCCCAGTGCTCGCCGAGACATGAACAAGGTAAATTGACATGTTCGGGTCATTCTAATTCCTTCACATCTGTTCAGAATGGTTTCCTTGATCCATTAATTTCATGTTTCGCCAGGTTGTCTTTTCTGTCTTCACCCCATCTCTAATGTTTGCCAGTCTAGCAAAGACTGTCACGTTCGAAGAAATCATATCTTGGTAGGTTGTGGTTCATCAAATAAGTGTGAATTCAGTAATGATTAGTAGTGCTCACCAACCGGTTGACTAAATTTCAAGTGATTCAATCAACGTCTTCTGAAGGTGGTTTATGCCGATTAATATTGGGATCACCTTCCTAGTCGGAGGAGTCCTCGGATGGATTGTGGTGAAGATCTTAGGGCCTCCACGGCATCTCGAGGGCCTTGTGATAGCTACATCTTCTGCAGGTAAATCATCCATATCAAGGATTTGCAAATGCACATATGTGCTTCAGCACTTGGGTTTGATCAGCTATGATACTGTCTCACTGCAGGTAACCTGGGCAATCTGCTCTTGATAATAATCCCTGCGGTTTGTGAAGAGAATGGCAATCCCTTTGGTGACCAACAGATTTGCAGTGCCCGTGGACTTTCCTATGTTTCTTTCTCCATGGCGGTAAATTATATACTTTCAGAGGCATTTCTGCTTCATTTCAAACGAAGTGATGTGATTCTTTTTCCTGCAGCTTGGAGGATTCTACATTTGGACATATACCTACAGTCTCATAAGGAATGATGGTCAAACATATCATGGGAGCCAATCACAAAGCAATGGATCCATAGAGGCAGACAGAAATGGTTCATGTATTAATGAGGGAGCTAATCTTGTCGAGGAAGATGATCAAGAGTTGTCTACCAATCAGGAGAACATACTACTTTCCATAGAAGTGGCAGAAAACCAAATTGTAAGTCAGTCACAATCACAACGTCCAAATAATTAGAAACATCATTAGAAACCTTAGTTTGATTCTCTCTTGGCCTTTTTCTCTTTTGATGAAAACACAAGAACCTTCAAAGCCTGACAAGGAAGAAAAGGAATCAGACAAACTCATTTATACTTACAGGGAAAAGCTTGATTGTGTTATCATTCAGGAACTACCACTTCTATCCAGTGGAAATCTACAAGGTCAAAGAGTGAGCATCTGGCACAAAATGAAAGAAACTCTCCACAAGATTGTTGATGAGTTGTTGGCTCCACCAACCATCGGCGCAGTAATGTTCTCATGAATAACTTCTTCTTGCACTAGTCCATTGTACAGGATTTGATTTCTAACATCTCTTGGTTTGTTCCAGATCGCAGGATTTGTTGTTGGAGTAATACCATGGTTGAAGTCTCTATTTGTAGGGGCAACTGCACCACTGAGAGTGTTTCAAGACTCCATCAAATTATTAGGGTGACTGCAATCTACTTTGTTATGCCTGCTATTCTTTTAATGAATCCTCTGCATGGATAGAATTTGCTGACAGTCATTTTTGACTGATGCAGTGAAGGCACAGTGCCCTGCATTACCCTCATTCTTGGTGGAAACTTGACACAAGGTAAAGTTCCAACTTTGGTGTGATCTTGGCAGGTGATAATTGCTTGCCAATCCTTAAAAACCTCTGAAACTCGCGCAGGATTACGCAAATCACAAATCAAGCCTGTGGTGGTCTTTGCAATTTTGTGCATTCGGTTTGCGATACTTCCTGCATTTGGGATTGCTGTGGTAAAAGCAGCCTACGAATTAGGATTCGTGCCATACGATCCATTGTACCGATACGTGCTGATGATACAGTTTACTGTCCCGCCTGCCATGAATATAGGTAAATTTTCCTTCTTTCTTCCCACGTATCGGCACTGAACACGAAGAACTGGACTGTTTTAACATTGGATCTGTCATTTGGATTGCTGCTGTTAAACAAAATGTTGGCGTCACACATATTTGATGTGCCATTTTGATCTCAATGCAGGTACGATGGCTCAATTGTTTGATGTTGGTCAAGAGGAGTGCTCTGTCATCTTGATGTGGACTTATGTGGTCGCCGCCATCGCACTTACCATTTGGTCCACTATCTTCATGTGGATCTTATCTTAGAATTCTCATAAAAATCATGTGTAACGTAGGTAGTTTGTTTAAGCTGAGGTTAGCTGCTTTTCTCTGTTAAAGCTTCATTCATTAGTTATACATGGTAAGAAATTGACATCTTCAGCAACAAATGAAAGGCATCTCACGATGACTGCATAGTTCTTATGTTTACTTGTGAATTTCTCATTTTTAACATGGCAAAACATTTTGGTTTATTGTTGAATGGAGGGATGCGAAACCTTAAGGTCAAAGGATGGGCACAATGCAGTTTCCGTTGACAAAATGGTTGTATTGCAAACAGAAGAAGAGAGGACATATGAGAGATGAAAATAGATTTTCCATATAACTGCACAGCGACTATGCTCATCCCTGTTGAGGTTCCCCCCCATCAATTAAATCCACTTCTCCACCATTTTTTTCTCTCTTTCCATAGATAAAAAATAACTAAATGATCATTGCCAGATTTGTGTGTTAAAATAAATATTCACATTTTCAACCTTCATATACAAGAATAAACTCACAATAACCCTTGGACAGGTTCCCATCTCACCAACTCACCCTTCACACGATTTATTTGCCCGAGAAAGTAGCAATTAGTTCCCGTTCGACAGGGAAAATACATAGTAGAAACAACTATAGCACCGTTTAAAGGCCATTAGGGCAATAACACACAAATTGCAACTTTTCCTGCTCCCGAATGCTGAAGCTAACTGACTCTGGAACTATGGTCATTTTAGGAAGCCATTAAATCATCATCTTCAGGTTGAATCAGAAAACATATGCTCAAGGTTACAGGTCACATGACATTTGTTCTCCAACTCCATCAAGCAGCAGGTGACTGAATCACGCAGGTGGTATTCTGCAATAACAAGTGAACAATAAATCAATATCAACTTGCATTTTAATAAAAACAAAAAAACACACGTAAAAACGCTCAACCAATAGATAACAAGGAAATGTATGGATGTCCAACCATTATAGGTTCTGAATACTCTTGGGTTGAAGATATAAGATCAGTGTCACATTTTGTACATCCAAATTATGGTGCATCCTGTTTTCTCTCGGGTCATTGTTCTCTAGATTGGATGTTCCAGATCATCTTGGGAATTACTTGGCCACAACCATGCAAATGTATATGCAAAAGGAGAAATGTGTTGTTTTACATTATAAGATAAGTTGCCTGCATCCAAACTTTTTAACTAATAATTTCTGCTATAACCACCTCGAGATTTAGCCCTCTCATCATTACCTACATAATGAAACCAATGAATGAGAAATTTATTCAGTCAAAGTTTGAACTCCACATATTTGTTCAAAGCTTAATTTTGCATAGAAATAAACTGTCCTTTGGAAACTGAAATAATTGTTTCCTGCCTAATCATTAGCAATAAAGCACAAACCTAGAACATGACTTCCCACAATTGTCGCATTTGAGGAGGGTCAATGTACTTTTCCTTACTCCTAGAGGTAGAAAGACTTTTTTGTGACTTGAACCCCATCACCCATGTTGCAAAGGAACAGTCTTACTGTTGACTCACCCTAGCTAAAATATTGAAATACATCATTCCTACCTAGTCTCCCATCAACAATATATTAGTATATAAAACAGAAACTCACCTGCTATGCTCATGTATTTGGTTAAAGCAAAAGACACTGGTTGTTCCTTTGAAAGCATTAAGCATTACAGGACTGTAGAATGTCCAATTCTGTATAAAAGAAATGACAAAGATATCATATTAAAATCATATACACAAACAAAAACAAAATAAACCTATTATCAATGCATTTTACCTCTGAAAAGGAAGTTAGTTGCCTTTTCTCTGGAGAAGTTGAACAATGAGAGAATTCGTAGTATTGACTACAAACATGAGTAAACTGGCCATACCCTGATGAAACTAACAAGCTGATCTTGATATTTGTTACTCACGGTTAAAGAGGACACAGGGTGTTGCTTAAATCCAACTTATTTTCACAGCATCCAAATTCCTGTTGGCTTCTATTTTTGTCACCTTTTAACAATTCAAGCTTCCGGGTAAACTTTCCAAGAAAGGTCTTCATTTCAACTTCAGATCAGCCCAAGTTGCATGAAATTTTTGGCACAATGTCAGGTGATATATCTCAAAACTATGCCAAATTGGTAGACAAGGAAAAAGTGGCCATCAAATCAAGCCAGGTTTATCAATTAAAACTGACAGGCAAAAACCTGTGTCTGCTTGTGCTGTGAGTTACTACTGCTTAGAAAATATACCAATCAGTACTTAGCATTTTTAATTTCAGGACACAAACAAATTAAAGCCTTCCTAGCATCATCTGAAGTTCAAAATTCAGTTTCCTTCATAACTGAACTAAAAATTCTGTGCTATCTTCTCATACTTGTCAGTCTAACTCAGAACACGGCTTGTGCTTCTCCAACCTTTATTACTCCCAATGAAACAGAGGGGTGTCCTGCAGATATCAAGTGGTCTGTTAAAGTTTGAAGAAGGCAGTATATGTCACTTGAATTTTCATGTCTCATATCTTCAACTAAAAACTCACTAATGTTTCCATTGATCTCAATTGAACTAATTGCCCTACATTTTTTTATCTGACTCTTTTTCATATGTTCTCTAATCTTCTTCATATCTTCCCACCTGTGTCTCTCACTGTACATATTGGAAACTAAAACATATAATCCCCCACTATCTGACTCCAGTTCCAATAACTGTTTCATGACTTCCTCTCCGGTCTTCATGTTCCCATGAATCCTGCAAGCCCCAAGCAAAGCACCCCATATGACAATATCAGGCTTCATTGGCATGCTTCTTATCAGTTCAACTGCTTGCTCTATTTGCCCTCCTCGTCCTAGAAGATCAACCATGCAAGCATAATGTTCAATTTCATATGGAACTTTATAATCAATACTCATAGCTTCAAAATAGTACTTGCCAACTTCCAGCAAACCACCATGACTACATGCGCACAACAATCGTGTAAAAGTGATGGTGTCAGGGGAGAAGCCCTCACATATCATCTGCCTAAAGAGTTCAATGGCATCAAATGCACACCCATGGACAGCGAAGGCCCCAATTATCACATTCCATGACACAACAGTTTTTTCAGGCATCACCCTGAAGATGTCCAAGGCAATATCAACAGAACCACATTTTGCATACATATCAACCAGGGAATTAAACAATGTGACACTAGGCTTTGTGATACGTTCTGTTATGTCCTCGTGGATTTCCTTTCCAGTGACCAAGTCACCAGTTTGACTACAAGCTGAAAGTACGGCCACCAAAGTCACCTCATCCGATATCACCCTTGAAGATTGCATGTGGGTGTATAGGTCTAAACCTTCACGGAATAAGCCATGTTGAACATAAGAAGAGATCATAGCATTCCAAGAGACCACATTCCTCTCCGGCATCCGGTCAAACCAACTTCTAGCAACATCAAGTAGCCCATGCTTTGCAAAAGCACAGACCATGGATGTCCATGAAACCACATTCCTCAAGGCCATTCTGCTGAAGCATTTTTGTGCTACAAATAATTCCCCACATTTCCCATACATATCTAACAATGCATTTGCAGCAATTAAATCAACACTAACCCCTGTAATGACAATGTAGTGGTGTGCGACTCTACCCAAGCCAAGATTTCCGGTTTGTGCACAAGCAGAAAGGAGGCTAACTAGAGTGAATCCATCAGACTCCACATTTGAATTCCTCATCGCCCTGAACATATTGAAAGCTTCCACGCAATCACCTGCCTGAGCATACCCACTGATTATCGAGTTCCATGAAACAACATTCCTGTTAGGAATCTCATCGAACACCTTACGAGCCAGCCCTATAAACCCACAAGAAGAGTAAGCACTCAGGAGCGCGTTTGCAACGAAGACCTGCGACTCAAATCCCAGCTTGAAGATCAAAGCATGAACCAACGACGCCTCTGTCGAAGCCAACTCGGAAGCGCACGATTTGAGCACAAAGGGCAGAGTGAACTGATTGGGCAGGAGGCCACATCGCAGCATACGGCGGTGGAGGACGAGTGCCTCTCGGGGATCACGGCTGTAAGAGTAGCCTCTGATCAAGCTGTTCCACATGAAGGCATTGGGACGGGGGACGAGATCGAAGACCCTGCGGCCGTAACGGAGGTCGCCACCATCGGAGACGCAGCAGAAGGCGATGAGCTTGCCGAGGGTGGGGGCATCGGAGAGCAGGTCATTAGTGATGAGCTGACCGTGAAGCTGCTTGAGCCGCTTCATGGAAGAGCATCTTTGAAGGAGGGAGAGGATGGTTTGGTCGGCGGGGGGTTTGGGTCTGGGGATGGACGACACTTGGTGGCGGCTTGGATGGAAGACGAAGAAGATGGCGGGTGTAGCGCGCCGACTCAGCGCGGCGGCCTTGAACATACTCGACCCGTCGCAAATCGATCGATCGATCGATCGATACAAGCAACGTTTCGACTTAACGGAATAGCATTAACACTCACGTGCATTTCACGTGATGTGTACAAACTAAAATAAGACTCATATTTAACCCAATCGACGCTAATAATTAAATCGAACGTAAACAATTTTTTACTAAATTGAACCATTTACGGTGTCGATTCTAATGTTTTTAAATGATTTAAAATAATTAATTTTCAGATTTATTAATGAAAAACCTTGCAAATATCTATCGATAATGATTTTGAAACTCCAATCAATATTAATATTATATATTTGTCTTAATTAATAGCATCGGGCCCTCTGAAATTAAATATAGAAAACTTGGATGTTGGGCTCATCTCAACGGCCCAACTGGCACGTGAGATGTCAGACAGAGTATTCAAACCAAAAAAAGGAAAAGTGAAAAAAAAAATTAAATTTGATGATCATAAATAATATACGCTAATCTTGAAGACACCATAACATCAAGCGCAGCAAAGGACGCAAGAAAATGAAGCTGCTTAAAAAACACATATTCCCGAGGCAGGTGGTGGTTTTCGCTTGCGGGTCAGCCCCGATTTACCCAACTATCTCATCGCCGAATCCCTCATCGTCCTTCTCTCGTGTTTGATCCGAGAAACTTCACTGAATGCTTGCAGGCTCCTCGTATTGGGTGCTACCACGTATGACGTCCACAGGACCATTAAGAACAACGAGGAGCCGCCGTCGAGGGAGCAGATCCAAGCTCTTCAAGACTACCTCCACTCCAAACGCCATCCTCCTTCCCATCCTTGAACAAAAACCACCGAACCCAATTGGTTGTTTGATGTAATGTAAGAGTTGGATGATATGTTTCACGAATAAACTTTTATTATGCGCGTAGTAGTTATGTCATTGTTCCGCTCCTCGCAATGTGATACACCGATGGGCATGGGATCTTTCAGAATAGAGACACGCATGGCTCTTGTTCGATGATATGTCTCTATGAAACATGTCCGGGTTACTCATACTCGGCAGCCTCCTTATTAGTAGTAGTATCTTGTCGTGTGATTCCAACCTCTGTAGAATCACTACGCAGCTTTCAGTCGTCACTTGGCCAACTCGAGCAACTTTCCCTCGTGGCGCTTTGATATTAATAAATTATAAAAAAAATATAACTAATATAATCAGGTGTATATTTTAATTATATTTGCAATATAAATGTTCTATTCTCAGCTTCCACTCGAACAATGGTTCTGTGCTTTTAGCACATGGTGAAGTATGTGAGAGTGCAATGTCCATAACATGTACACAAAATATAACAGCAATCTCGATCTTATTTTTACTCACAAACCCTGTTTTATTGCGTAAATTAATACACATCCGAAGTACAAATGCAACCATGCCCCTTGTAGCTCCTGCAAATAACGCGGTGATTTATTTGGTCGAAGAAGCATCTCCGGTGGCTTCGGCAGAAGGTATTTTTGATGTCAAGTATTCTGTAATCATCCTGAGATCATGTTGTGTTCACGGATTAAAAGAAGACCCTAAAAGATGTAACAATGCAGAGGTAAGAAGAGAGTTATCAGGAAGAAAACATGGATCGATGTTGCAGTGCTCGATCGTCTCACCTTTGGATTCGCGATTGCGTGCGCCTGCTTCAGGTAAAGTAGTAATGGCTGGTTAGCTATTTATCATGACTTTGTTAAGCAAAAATCTCAGGGAATAATGGAAGTGCTTGCCTTCGTGTTATCTGAGACGAAGGCCTCGTTAGAGGCTTGGATGATACTGGCACAGCCTCGGATGTGGAATCCACAGCTGGAACTGTCTTCGCCTGCAACGGAATCGATAAGTCATGAAGAACGTCAAAGACGTGGTTTTTATTTCGCCCTGAACTTACCAATTTCCTGAACTGGAGATTGTAGAACAACTTGACGTATCGTTGCTTGGCTTGCTTCTCTTCCTTGTTCAGTTGCCTCCAGAAGCCATAGAACGTTCCCATGTTCAACACCTTGGTGGCGTAGATCTTCCATGTGTAGCTGCCAAAACGAAGCTGTAGTTTGAGGTTTAAGCTCATGATGGCGGCGAAGTCATGCATGCCACCCCACCTACCATTCATTGATGCGTTGGAGTCCGGCAGTGGACACCCTGTTCCAGTAGCTGCTGTCCTCCCTGCACTTGGCGAAGAAGTCCGCGATCTTGTTGCTCGACTCGTCGCCTTTGGTTGGATCGATATGGAAGCCAGAGACCCCGTCGGCGATGATCTCCGCCGGACCTCCTTGGTTGGTCGCGAAGGTGGGCAGGCCGCAGTTCATTGCCTCTATCACCGTCAGACCAAATGCTTCGTACAGAGCAGGCTGGAATCATGGAAGAAGGTCATGTACTCGGTCCATGGTCATGGCAGCGATGAGAGTATCGAGGAAGAAAGAAAGAACCTGCACAAAAGCTCCTTTGGTGTCGGCGATGCAGCGGTACAGCTCACCGTTCCTCACGCGATCGTTCTGTGCTGCTATCCAACGCAGCTGACCTTTTAATTGGTACTTGTCAATCAGGGAATGCATCTTCTTGATCTCGCTGATCTCTTCCCTGTCCTTCGACTTCGAGGGGTCAAGGAAGCCGGCAACGACGACGAGGTTCACGAGCTCTCGTAGCCTACTGTTCTTCCCGTACCACTCCACCAAACCGGTAATGTTCTTCACTGTGTCCAGCCTTGCCATGGAGAAGATGATTGGCTTCCTTTTGTCCGCGAGGAACCCTCTGTTGCCATGAGCAGTGTTTGATTCAGATGTCAGTGACCTTGGAAAGCTGAACTCGTTGCTGTTCGTTAAAGATTAAGGTGAGACAATTACATGTGTTCGTCATTGTCTTGTTTGCTATACAGTAGCTCCTCAATAGCAGGATGAAACGAAGTCAGGCGCCTGTGCTTCTGCGTATGGGGGAAGTAGACGGATTGATCGGCTCCAGGGGAAGCAATGTTGAACTTGGGATCGAAGACGTTGATGCCCGACGCAAACCGGCACAGCCCAGGCATCGTAAACGCATTGTGGCTCTCGTACTGCCCGGGCCTATCCTTGCTGCATTGCCCAAACACTAATTTATGGTAAAGAGCAAGTGAGATTTCAAAGAAGCTGTGCGAGAGCATACCTTCCTGCAATTTCTTGGTATGTGCTTGTGATGATAAAATCACTAGTGTTCATCGAGATCATGTCGGCTGTGAATTGGCAGGAGAAGTGGTACTTTGGATCAAGTTCCTTCCATTTGACATCAGAATCCTCATACTTGGTTTTCTCAAGAGCATGTGCTATGGTACCCTGGTTTTATGGTGTTCTTCCATAAGTTTCTTGAAGAACCACAAGGATTCAGACTACTTCGTGTCACATTGTGTTAGGAAGAAGAAGTACAGCTGATACCTGAGTTACTCCAAGTTTGCTTGCCACGAGAGATGCCACCAAGTTGCCATCAGTGTAATTGCCGATGATCAGGTCTGGCTTCCCTTCCAAGATGTCAAGAACTTTGGCGGCTGCATCCTACAGAATTCCACAAAGCAAGTACTCCCCTATCAGAAGAATCCTACTCAAGCTGAAGCTATTGAACTGGAGAGACATACCCGAGCATATCTCTCGAGGTAGGGGTAGATGTCGAATCGAGAAACCCATTGATGCAGCACTCCGGTTTCGGTCCTAAATGGCACTCGCAGGATGTGTGAGTGCTTTGTATTCAGTATTGCCTCGAGTTCTTGGTTGCATTTGGTCCCCCTGGCTTCTGGTATCAATCTCGTTACCTACCATCACCTCTTTCATTGGTTTTGCTTGTTTGTGGACATGGACTTGCATTACATTCATTAAATGGCTGGAAGCCTGGAACAAGAACTCATGGGAATTCATTGACTTACCACAAGAATTCGGGGTGTAATCGTCAAACCTTGCCGCTTGATCCTGAGAAGCAATTCTTCTTCGAAGGCTCTCACCTGATCCAGGATATAGACAACCTGCACCGGAAACGAACCGATGAGAAGCTAGTCTCTGATTCGATGATGGGTTGTGGCATGAGTTCTGCACCTGGCCTCCGGTATCAGGCAAGCCAAGAACATCTGCTTGTCCGAAATAGCCATGCGGCGAGAAGATGACGATGTTAAAGATGGCTGGAACTCTACCAAGAAATTTCTCTATGTTCACAGGATCTGGACATTGAAGAACCTCGGACAGAGAGTTCACAGTCTCCTTCACCCTTTCGGCGGTGTCGCCCCATCCTTTCTCCAGACCCCATTCTTGAAATCTGCAGAACAACTTTGTGTATGTGAATCACACCAACTCTTCAAGTTTTCTTTCTTTACACCGTTGTGTGTTTCTTGTAGGTGGGAATCACCTTTGTTCGAATTTTTCGAATGGCATGTTCTTGGGGAGGTTACTGACAAATACTTCGGCCAAGATCAACGCTGACTGGAGTCTGCTCACGGTGTCGAGGAAGCCATTGATCATTAGCTTCTGCAAAAAAAAGCAAAGTGATTAAAGATCTTTGATATGTTCTTCACCATGATTTAGCCTTAATGCTATCTCTTCTTTTGCTCTGGGTTCTTACTTCTCCTCGGTGATTAAGCGCGAGCAGGTAGTCCAACAATGGCTTCGCGTTCTTTGGATTCTCACTTAGTTTCGATGACAAGAATTTAGATATGAATTGCATGCCATTTCCTATCGACGAAGGCAAGGAGAGATGAGGTGTTGACAGATCGAAGGCCCCGAAATCCACCTCCAGTGCATCCTCATCATTTGCCCTGCAAATTTCCATGAACGAATGAACAAGACTGAACTGTAAGTGCAAATGTTTACGTAATTTACACTACCATCTCTCATCATATATTGTTTCCTTAAACTTCAAGAACTCCGAAGCAGTGATTTCATCGACAAATAAATCCTCTGCATTGACTTTAACATATTCCCATATCCCTGGATGTTGTCTAACCGCAAATGCCACAAATGGAGGAAGAACAACTGCTTCCTGCCATTAGAGTTGCAAGTGAGC